TTCACGATTATGCGGATCAGTAAGTAAGATGTCATCAATTTCTGCTTCAGGTTTCTCGATCTCATTGGTGTTTTCTTCTTGTAATGGTGGTTCTTCTCCAGCGATTATTCGTCCTCGAGGTGTAACTTTGATAACCGCTAACCAGTTTATTCCCGAGGTAGTAATCCGAGGGTATGGAATGAAGCAAACTTGATCTGCTTGGGAAGCTAATATGAAAGGCTCGAACTTGTTGTACCTACAAAAATAAAGATCAACGTAAAAATTAATTAATACTCGAAACCTGGATATAAAAAAAAAAAGAATTTGTTGTACCTTCGTCCACCATTGACATTAACTACACTGTTCTTGTTAATCCGAACACCTTTATTGACGAAGGGGTCGTACCACTCAAACTTGAATATAACGCATTTCAAACTCATACCTGGGAATTGAACTTCATAAATCTCCTGCAAGATCCCGTAGAAATATGTTTCGCCTTTCACACATATTCCATAATTACTTGTCGCCCGGTATCTACCATAGTCATAGGTATGAAAAAGTATAGCCTCGGGTGAAATACATCGATGATGCAGGGACCTTTGCAACTGGACTTTGAAGTAATTCGCGAAACCATGCGGGATACTCAGGATCGTCATAATCAACCTACAAAAAAAGTAATTAATAGAACTAGACCTTAGACTTACTTTATGGTAATGTATGAATAAAATTTAAGCTATAATAAATACATGTTTCCTCAACCACTTTATAAAGTGTTGATCTTTTCTTTTGTCTAACTCATCGATATACCAGGTATTGCTTCTTCGACTTGAGTCACAAATTGGCTGTAAAATCATATATGTTATGTTATTTAATATTGGAAAAAAAAAAAAATATATATATATATATAAGTGTATGTTTATATATTTACCTTTCAAAATAACCAATCAATGGATGCTCGCAATTAACAAGAATATAAAGGTGTGCATTATGGACGTCTTCATCACTCGACCACCAAACCTCTTTCAATTTCCCACCCAATCGCCCAATTTGACAAAATATGTCTGGAACATCGTCTTCCATATATGTCGGCACGACACCACCATCATCATATCTTCTTGGAGCTCATTTCCTTGTACGTACTTTCGGTGCAAAGTAGTACGATGTGAAATGTGATGTTTCTTCCGTCAAACTTCCCGCAACAATCAAACCTTCAACTCCTGCTAGGTTTTTGGCTTTTCCTTTCAAAGTTTTCATGGCCCTTTCATACTGATACATCCATCCATAATGCACAGGTCCACGAAGTAATGCCTCATACGGGAGGTGGACAACTAGGTGTTCCATGACGTCGAAAAAAGTAGGCAGAAATATTTTCTCCAAGTTGCAGATTAAGACGGGGATGTTTTCCTGAAGTTGTTGCACAACTTCCACTTTAAGAGTGCGGGTGATCAGATCCCTAAAAAATGCTCCAATTCCTTATATATTACAAAAAAAAAAAATTATCCACATTAGTATATATATATATATAAAGGAATAAATTAATCATATCATCGTATTATATAAATTAATTAAATACCTGAAAGTGCTTCATGTACTTTTGCCGGTAGTAGCTCCGCAAATGCAAAGAGAAGTAGTCGTTGCATAAAGACATGACAATCATGGCTCTTCATCGCGGAGAACTTTTGTCCTTTCTCAACACATCTTGAGAGATTTGAAACATACCCATCAGGGAACTTCACTTCTAAAGCCACCCAGTTGAACAACGCAGACTTTTTTTCTGATGACAGTTTGAATATTGGAACTGGAACTTGCCCATTGCTTTTTATATGTAGCTCACTCCTTGAGCAGATATCGGGTAAGTCCAACCTTGATTTTACGTTGTCTTTCGTCTTCCCTGGGACATTCAATATAGTGTTCATGATGTTCTCAAAAAAGTTCTTCTCTATATGCATCATATTGAGGTTGTGGCGCAAAAGAAGATCTTTCCAATATGGCAATTCCCAAAATATACTCTTTTTGTGCCAATTGTGCTGAACACCATAAGAATCAGGCATATTACTGGGAACATGCCAATTTCCACCACGAGGAGCTGTTTCTAGAGCCCCGTAGTAATCGATTTGCGCTACGATTTGTTCTCCAGTTAAATATGGAGGAGGAGTGTCTCTGACAACCCTTTTGTGCCTGAACAATTTCTTGTTTCTTCGGTATGGGTGGTAAACGGGAAGAAATCGACGGTAAAATTCAAAACAACTAGTCTTCCTACCATGCTTCAACTGAAACGCATCTGTTACTCCATTACAATATGGACAAGCTAATCTCCAATGTGTAGTCCACCCAAACAACATCCCATATGCATGAAAGTCACTTATGGTCCACAAAAGCATCGCTCGCATCGTAAAGTTTGTTTTGGTTGAACAATCATATGTCCTCACCCCTTTTGACCACAAATATTTCAACTCTTTTATCAGTGGTAGTAGAAAAACGTCAAGAGATCTTTTTGGATGTTTTGGACCAGGTATTAATATGGTCATGAATAGAAACTCTCGTCGCATGCACATCTCCGGTGGCAAGTTATACGGTGTAAGAAAGACCGGCCATAATGAATATTGTCTCCCAGACATTCCAAATGGACTAAATCCATCAGTGCATAATCCAAGATACACATTCCGGCTATTGCTAGCGAAATGTGGACGTACATTGTTAAAATGTTTCCAGGCTCTTGCATCTGATGGATGAGTCATCTCTCCATCCGTCTGAGTATGCTCGGCATGCCATCTCATCCCTCCAGCAGTCTCCTCAGATTGGTACAACCTTTTCAATATGTCTGTGATTGGTAGGTACCACATCCTTTGGTACAGTACTCTATTACGCCATCGACCTTGCGGTTTGAATCGTGGCTTCTTACAAAATTGACATTCTTCTAACTTCTCATCATCTCCCCAGTAAATCATGCAGTTGTCGATGCAAACGTCTATCATCTCCGAGGGCAACCCAAGACTATATACCAATTNTAAATCATGCAGTTGTCGATGCAAACGTCTATCATCTCCGAGGGCAACCCAAGACTATATACCAATTTCTGAATCTGATAATAAGATTCAGCAGACACATTGTCTTCTGGCAAATACTCTTTAAACAAGTCTGCCCATGCATCTATACAATTTTCAGGTAGATTGTGATCGGTTTTAATACTCATCATTCTAGCAGCCAGCGATAATTTAGACAGACCTTCTCTACATCCACTGTAAATTGGCTCATTCGCAGCTTCGAACATTTCATAAAAAAAATTTGCATCTAAGTTAGGTTCTTCAACTTCATCATCATCATGAGTTACAAATGCATCACCTACCATATCATGAACCCTATCACAATCTACCATTTGTTCCTCTTGGTGATGATAGTTATTTTCATTACGAAAATGATAACCCGGTTCAACTCGAAAATTGCTATTACTGCTACCTTCATTCCTACAACTAGCATCTTCTCCATGTTGATACCAAATATAATAATATGGCATGAAACCTCTATTTATGAAATTCTTCCAAACATTTTCACGAGGGCCTAATTTTGTATTGCAGCATTTCCGACAAGGACAGAACATCTTACAATTTTCCTGCGTGAGTGGTGTAGAATTTGCTTGATGCATAAACGTCTCCAACCCTTCGAGATATTCTTTCGTCACTCTCCCGTATTATCTTTGTGTGAATACATCCACTTCCGCAACTCGAAAATATTTCCCGGACCGGATATTTTTTTATCTTTGATCAAGCTTAAAGCTGCTTTTTTGGTGTGTTTGAAATGAATCACAAATGGTGGTACTTATAGAAATTTTCGAATATGAGCATTTACTAAGAAATTGCTAGGAAAAGTAGGTACAAAACACGTTTTAGATTTAAATTAGATATTTTCTATCAAGTTCCTCGCTAATTTGAAGTAAAATATTCTTTCCTCCTAATTTCGTAGTAAAGATTTACTAAGACTTTACGAGGAAAGCATTTACTACGAGCTTACGAGGAAATGGTATTTTTCCACGTAGTTTTCTCGTAAGTTTACTACGGTCTTACGAGGAAAACTTTTTCTCGTAACTTTACGAGGAAACTTGTAAAATCGAAGTAAGTTCGTAGTAAATTTACAAGGAATTATTTTCCTAGTAAAATTTTCTAGTAAGTTCTTAGTTTTCTTGTAGTGCTATGTGATAACATGCATAAAAATGCATTAGTAAAATATTAATAGTAAGCAAGGGAGACAAATAATATGAAGAAGATTAACGAGATCAAAGTCATAGAGAATTAAGATAGAAAGACAAAAAAAAAAAAAAAAAAAAA